GGGTGCTCAGGACGGACAGCACGCAGTGGGAGGGTGCCCGGGATGGACAGCATGCAGTGGGGGGTGCCCGGGACGGGCAGCACGCAGTGGGGGTTCTCAGGATGGGCAGCACGCAGTGGGGGTGCCCAGGACGGGCAGCACGCAGTGGGGAGGGGTGCCCAGGACGGACAGCACGCAGTGGGGAGGGGTGCCCAGGATGGACAGCACGCAGTGGGAGTGCTCGGGACGGACAGCACGCAGTGGGGGTGCTCGGGACGGGCAGCATGCAGTGGGGAGGGGTGCCCAGGATGGACAGCACGCAGTGGGAGTGCTCGGGACGGACAGCACGCAGTGGGGGTGCTCGGGACGGGCAGCACGCAGTGGGTGTGCGCAGGACGGACAGCACGCAGTAGGGGTACCCAGGATGGACAGCACGCAGTGGGGGTGCCCAGGACAGGCAGCACGCAGTGGGGGTGCTCAGGACGGGCAGCATGCAGTGTGGGGGGTGCTCAGGACGGGCAGCATGCAGTGGGGGTGCTCGGGACGGACAGCACGCAGGGTGGGGGTGCTCAGGATGGACAGCATGCAGCGGGGGGGTGCTCAGGACGGACAGCAGGGTCATGGGATTGCCATTGGGCTGACCAGTGTTAGCAGGATGGCTCAGCACGCTTGTCCTCACAGGCGGGGACTAAGTGTGGGTGCTAAAGATGTGTCCCTCCGGCTTCCCGATAACAGGATCAATGAAGTTGAAGGTTCTGGATATAATCAGGGTCTTGTAACAGCCTCAGAGGAAAGGCGGTGGGAGGGGGTGCTTTCCTGTCACTCCTGTCACCGTGCCTCTGGCCTCACCACGCCTGGCACAGAGGCTGCTTTTCTCTGGCAGCTGTCTCACCTCTGTTCCTGCTCCTGTCGTGGGAAGGGAAGGGCGTGATCCTTGCAGGACTTTTCGAGGCCAGAGTGCCCCCGGACCCTGCTAGCTGCCGTTCTCGTGCCTCTGTGTGAGTGCTTTGGTTGGGAGGGGGTAGGTGGGTGTTTAGCAGGGCCTCGGGGCAGCTCGTGGAGAGGACTCAGAAAGTGCACCGCTCACCCACGCTGCTTCCTTTTCAGGGACTTCCTGGTCACCGCTCCTGGGCGTGAATATTACGTCATCGGGAGAGTCGGGTGTTTCCTGTGCAGAAATGCACCATGACTTTCCCCACCCCGTACCAATGCTTGAGGTTCTTTTCTTCTTTTTTCACCAAGAAAATAAATAGCAAATCCAGGACTTCTTCTAACTACTTACTAAAGAATGAGTCCTGTCTCTGCCGTTCTGCTTGTCCTGCATCGGCTGCTGTACAGAGACCCTGGAAGTAGGAGAGACCCGCGAGGGCTGACTCTGTGCAGCTCCTCTGGCTCCAGTGCCATGCGGCGAGCCCGGCGCAGCTCTGGCCGCTGTCATGGAGCTAGAGCATCCCTTGTTTGGTCACCCCTTCCTGCTCATGGGCGTCATGCAATCTTGAGGAGAACTGTGGAAACGTGCGTAGGTGGTTTTGTTTTTTTTCTTAAGGTTTTTGCTGTAGGGCACGTGCGCTCTCCAGAAAACAGAGAGACAGAGAAACAGAAAGTGAGAAATCACCTCCCGGGGGGATGGCCACGCCACAATCCCTTCTCCATTCTCCTCTTGGGATCTTGGGCACGCACACACACCTGCCCGGTGTGAGTTTAAGCCACCGGGTCTGGGACTCGAACCACAGTCTACTACATGGGAGTTTAGCGACAGCCATTACACTAACTGCTGGTCCCCGCAGGTGTTTCTTCAGGTCAACATAAGACCCAGGTTGGAGCCTCTGCCCGATGGGATTGGTGTGCTCCTTGGCTCCTTTCGGCAGCTCTGTCAGATCCAGAGACACTCCTGAGCTCTAGGCCCACGCAGGACATGCCTCTGGGCCCAGGTGCTGCTGCTGACTGAGCAGTTTAACCAGGCCTCTGGGAGGGAGGTGTTTTGCTGGGGAAAGAGGGGGTCATGGTGAGTGAGAGGTGGGGCTGCTGCTGGGCCATTAGGGCTCCCCAGACTGGCCTCTCCCACACGCCTGCTGTTTTCTCCTCCCACCCTCCCGAAGCTAGAACGCCTGGCCAGCTCTGCTCCAACCTTCTAATCTCAGACCGCAGTGCTCGTGTGGCTGTGGAGCTGTGTTTGTCTCAGCCATTCTCGTCTAATCTTACGGTTAACCCAAACTCGGTGCCCTGTGCTCTCTCTGCCAGGGCTCAGTGTCAGCAGTGATGAATCAAAGAACATTTCTGTTGTTTTCTTCACTCTGAAAATGCAGAATTTCAGGCAGCAATGTGGAAAGGATGTTCTGATGGGCATCTTAAGAACCCACTCTGGATGGACAATTTTTGCACATACCCTGTTTCTAAAACCCTTTCAACGTTTACTTATGCCCCTGCAGCGTCAGACAGGAATGCATCACTTTGATTTATTTCTTTACTATTTGTTTTAATTCATGTAATTAAAAGTCTGGTTGTTACTCCATCTGGTTGCTGATGATTAGGTGTGTTGCAAGGTGGTAGAGGGTATAAAATGCAGCAGGCCCAGCCCTGTGGTGGTAGTGGTGGTGGTGGTGGTGGTGGTGGTGGTGTAAAATGCAGCAGGCCCAGCCCCGTGGTGGTGGTGGTGGTGTAAAATGCAGCAGGCCCAGCCCCGGGTGGTGGTGGTGTAGAATGTGGTAGGCCCAGCCCGGTGGTGGTGGTGGTGGTGGTGGTGTAAAATGCAGCAGGCCCAGCCCCGTGGTGGTGGTGGTGGTGTAAAATGTAGTAGGCC